ACCGCAATGGATGAACAGGTGAGAGAAGATCTTGATGCAGCTGATGGATACTTTTCTGCAACAAATGTACCCGGACGAATGTTTGCTAGTTGAAAACTACTCACCGCGCGTAGCCCTCGGCTCGAAAAGTGCGCTGCCTAACATAAGGGCCGGACCGATGTGTGCGCAAGAGAAAGAAAAGAGTGAGATGACAGGACGTGAAGCCGAGAAAAACATGAAACAGAAGGCGGAAAGAAAGTGTGTGTAAAGGGGGAAGGATGAAAAGGGAACCAAGAACCAAATGGAGGGGTCGGGAACCAGCGAGACCAAACCTCATTAAAGAACCTAGGAGGCCAAGCCTAGTTTAAATGTAAGTGTTGTATGTGCACACTAAGGCTCCCACAGGCCCCAATGGACCTTGAGCATGCTTCGGTCGCTGCGACCGCGTTATGGCTTGCCCGAAGGCTGCCTACTCCTGACCGCTGCGGTCACCTCATGGCGTGTCCGAAGACTGCCTACTTACATTCAATACTTCAGCAAGTCTTGCACAAGCCTACTCCGTCGACTGGACTGTGGATACGTTGGACAAACCTCCGTTCGACGGGGCCACAGGGGACGCTCCTCGGGTACATTCTGGGCTGGTATGGAGCCAGACACGCTCGAGATATTGCGTACTGACTCGATTGCGGTTTGCCGCTTGCCAGCCTAAGTAAAAAACCTAAGGAAGCCAGGGGGGTAAGTGAGCATAAGCTCTCCACAAACCTTCAAGGAAATTCCTGGAAACCCCAAATGCCAAAGCGAGAATCGAGCGATCGACAAGGACGACGTAACGTGCAGAGTGTGCCGACCTACCTCCAACTAAGCAGCCTGAAAGTAGAGTGTGATGTAGCTATCAAGATCATCACTTGCAGGTACACCAGGTTGATCAGACCTGGATTCCACCATCACGCATAGCTTCGTCGGCATGCGTTTGCGTGATGGCCACGTTCTTCCTGCTAAAAGTAAAAGCCTTCTAACAAAAGCTTCAACGGAAGCCCTCTGACTCCAAGAGCTTCACATACACACATCAGTGCAATGCCGAGACATGATAGTTGACAACGTGCCAGGACAAGCGCGACAGCAGACAACAAACAGGGAAAGGCATCACGCCAATGCCAAACAGGGCTAATAGAACCGCCACCTGCCGAGGTGCACTACATTGGCTCTTCCAGCCTTTGCCGGCTGTCGGACCCGAAAACCTGTTTCTGTGCCAACGACACGTTTAGTGCACCTCTTTGTTTGCAGTGCTGGGCTGTATTGACAAGCAGATGTGAGTTTTTTCCTTTCCATCATGCAGGTCTTTCCCATTTCTTCCCACAGAGCGACAGCGTGCCACGATATATAAACTCCCCCCAACGTATGCAAGACAGCATTCACCAGCCCAGTGGTGCAAACGTTGCGTGCAGGGGCAGCTCAGATGTCCGCCATTCCCAGTCATTTAGATCCCGGATTTTCTATACAAAGAAATCATGCTATCATTCCCACCAGCTGTGTCTGTCAGGTTTGAGGCGGCAAGCCGCAACACATCACCGTTGGGAGCCACATGACACGCTTGACGCACGCCTTCAACATCTTCAGCAACAACCTCGAAACGCGCACAATTTCCCACTCAACCATCGGCCATACAGCAGCTCCTTCGATGATTCTCCAAGCGTTGTGAGATGCAGACGCACGTGCAGTGTTTGTTTTCCTAGAGGTTTTTTTAACCCCAAGAGTCGTTTCTTAGTCTTAGCCTGTACGTGCCACCAGACATTGCGCCAAATAGCAGCCACTGCCAAACGCATGAAACACAACCATAAACACAGCACAGCATCGCGGCGCATCAACAGCAAGGCAAATGCGCGCAGTGCATCTCACAATCCAATGACGATGGTTTTATCCTGAATCAGTCAGTGCACTAATGGTTTACAAAAAATGTTTGAAAAACATCCGCCCACCGACCCCGACTGGTGAGAGGCACTTGCTTGCCCATTCCAGGTGCTTCAGTTGCAGATTGACAACGTCTCCGCTCCTCCTACCACTCCCACTGCTGCCCCGGGAGTGAGAAAGGAAACCAGGGCGCCGGTGTGACTACTGTTTGGGGAATAGAGTGGATGAAACGGATGAATTGTTTTATTATGAGGATTCGAGGATGCTGTTACAAATCTTATGATAATTATGAATGATGATGATTGTGATACGCGTGATATCCTAGACGATAAATGAAAGTGGATTTTGACAGTCTGCTGCCTCCGGCTCATTTCTCTGGGCACACCCTTGAGAAGAAAGGTGATCATTGCTGTATGGCTCGAGTATGCAAGATAACATGGCCAACTCCTAGTTTTTGGTGTGATCTTGAGGCGTTGGCTGAGAAAGAATGTAAAATTGCTTCATGACATACCGTGACGCCGGACTTCGAACATGTCAGGCTCAATGGCTGTGATGCCCCAAGCTTGCCTGTTGCAAAGAACAGAGATGAAATCGATAAACTCTGCGTGTTTGTGGCGTTCATTTTTACATTGTTTGAGACGAGAACAGGCCAGAAAGATCAATGCGACAGAACACAAATGCTTTTTGTTATGCATTCTTCTGAGGATGAAAACTTGGACATTGGTGATTCCCTACCTCCCTATGCTTCAGAGGCGAAGATGCTTGATTTTGTAGGAATATACGATTGAAGATTGAACACACGTATTTTTGCACAGGGGCCCTAACCAAAGATCTTATAACTTATATAGTCATGAGAGAAAGTAACCATCCCGGAGACATCTGGCACATCTCCAGAAGGACTTGTTCTCTGAGCGTTACCAGTGTTTGCTTTGCAAACATAGCATCTAGCGAGAGGCACTTCTTGTGAAGATAATGGCCTTAAGAGAAGTGGTGTTTGCACCTTTAACATCATTATTGATCAGGAAAACAAGAAGCTTGATGCGGAGGCGGTTGTGGGTGTTCTGCATCGGATGTTATTTGTACTCCTGGAGTGCTTCCTGGTTTTTGCACACTTTGCCAGACTAGCCCATCGCAGATTTTTTTGTTTACCTGCCCAACTCCAGAGACTTACCAGTTTGCGCAGATAAAGCAGAAGCAAGCACAAGTCGAGTCCATTGAGGACCGCTTTCATTGTGTGTTTTCCGGTTCTCACTTGCTGCTTGCAGCTCGGCTCTACGCTTGAATCTGCACTTCTCGTCGATTTCTTTTAGCTCGAATCTCACATTTGTTTTTTGTTCCGGCAGGAGCAGCTTGAAAGAGATGGTGCTCGGGTGAAGATCATGACTGACCATTTGGTCAACGTCCAGCAGGCGCTCGGGAAGCTGGTCTTACCATGACTCCTCCAATGCCATAGCTTGTTCTTTGCAATGTTTGTTTGTACCACCCTTTCTAGACTGTTTGCTCTCAGAGACCATCTTGACCCGCTTAGTTGAACAACTCGAGGAGCTTGTCAATACGCAGCAACTTGTGGATGCCAAAAAGAACGAGACCACGACGGAGGAGCACTTGCAGGCGCGACAGCCAGTATTTTTGTTGACATTGGAGCATTCTGGTGGCCAGGCCCTCACAAATCGGCAACCGAGCTGCATTTGAGGACATCGATCGTTCAGTTTGCGTAAGGCGTAAGAAACCCTTAAAGTCAATTTGAAGCAAAGCTCCCAGTGACCTGTTCAGGCCAAGAAACCTTCTGGAGGGTTAAGTGACATCAAACTGGGGAGTCAAGAGGCCTTCTTCAAATTGCACGTGGGGCGCTTTTGTCCAGGTCAAATTAAGAAGTTTGCAACAGAGTTTCCTGGAAGTGCAACTCGCTTGTGATTTTTGGTGGTTTCTGCGCAAACCTCGTCTCTCACTTAATGGGGCCAGCTACAACACATAGAAACCGCAACAATGAACCCCGCCACATTGGCAACTAACTTGGCAGTCTCAATTTGACTGGACCTGAATGTGATTCAGTGTCCCCAAAGGCTCCTTGTTGAGAAAAGATTCGTGACCATCGGACCTGAATCACACGTGGAATTATGCACACTGTCAATGAGCTTCCAGAGCTTTTGCAGTAAATCTGAACAATGTGAACATCGATTCTATCAGATAGCATTGCACATGGAGCGTATTATAATTATGTCATCAAGAAAGCAAGTCAGGGCCCATGCCCTTCAGGCCAACTTGCTGGCTTGTTGTCGTTGTCGTTGTCGTTGTTGTAGTAGTAGTACCGATCCTGTCTGCATTGCCCTAAAGCTGCATGAAAGCGACGAGTTGGACTGACATTTTGGATTGTTGTCCAGGCAGCTTGGCCGATTGAAGTCCGAGATAGTGAGATTGCAGAAAGTCCTGGAAGACACCCAGGAGCAATGTCATTTTTCCCAGATGCTGGAGATGCTCCTTGACATGCCCTTATTGGCTCGACTCTTCAACTAGTATATTTGTATTCGTGTGGGGGATTGGATTGGTCCGTTCTGCCAGGATCAAATTAACGCCTTTTCCAACGAGCTGATGAGAGGCAATGAGAAGTTGGACCAGTGCGCCCCGAGCTTCGCGAAGCGATCGGCACGAAGTGCGCAGCGTCGATTCTCAGAGCTTGGCATTTGTGGCAACTCACTAAGCCGAACGAAACAACACAATCTTCTTCTGAGTTACCAATAGCGATGGCCTCCAACCTAATAGCGTTGCATTCGCAGGTTCAAGTTGGAGATGAACTGGAACCAGGAAGAGCTGGAGCAGTGGGCGATTGCTGCCAGGCAGAAAGAGGAGGACTCCTGGGTTGCGGGTAGAAGGGGAAAACCGTTGTAAAGATCAAGGGAGCCGTCATTACTGCATCACCTTTCTTGTCCTTTGCAAAATTAACATGACAAAGGACGAGCTCACTCTGGAAAAGTACAAGCGAGCTGATGACTCCAAGGCCAGCTGCAGCTCAAAGAGGACATTTGATGTGTCACTACCAAGATTTGTATGCTAGCAATTCACAGCTGCCTCTGTCGACTGGCTCAAGATAATTCACTGCTCTTGTGACATGTGACATGTCTATGCCTAACATGCTACACAGCTTGCTTGCACTGAGCAACATTTGTTGTTGGAACATGGCAGCGTTAAGACTCTTGCTTTTGCTGCCTGCAGCTGGAGCAGCGGCCTGGAATGAAGCAGATTCATTATGATCGGCTTTGGTTGCATTTTTTCAAAGCCCTACAGTAACGTATGGGAAATGATTTGGCAGCTCCAAATTATTTGCAAAACATGGGAGCTTGCACATTCTAAGGTGTGCATTCCATTTGATGCGTGGCTGCATTTGAGCGTGTTAGGCACAAGTTTCCAGCTTGCAGTGCTTCCACACGATGCAACCTTTGGAGCGACGGAGGAAGCAAACTGCTGCCACATCAATCCCAAGCATGACCCAGATTATGATCACTTCAAGGCTGCTTATTGGGCAAAATGGTGTTTATTTATCAGCTTGGCAATATGTCCATTTCTGATGTGTGATGTTCTCAGGGGGATCCGAGCGACCAAGTGCCTGGTTGGGAGGCGCGGTCGAACGTAGTTAGCATTTTGGACTTGCAGAACTTCCAGATGCAAATCAACTGGAGGTCAATAAAATCAATCTTCATTGTGCCGTGCAGTTGAGAATGCCATTCCCTCTTTTCACGGCGCCCAAAGAGGTGGTGGATCTGAATCTTCCGCCAGCTGAGCGCTGGCGAAGACTGGTGACACCAGCCGCCCCAGCGATAAGGAGTGTGGGATAGTCTAGGTGTGTGTCGGTGCTTTATGGAATTCGATGGGCGCATTGCCCTACCCTGTCCTATGATGTAGCAGTTAGCTTCCACTAGAAAGATCAAAGGTGTTCAGCATGTACCTAGGGGAAAAAATACAGGAGAAACAAGGAAAACACACAGAGAGTGTTTTGTGTCATCTTTGTTCTCAGGACAATGGTCACACACTTCAAGGCCTTGCTAGGCCGCTTGGAACAGATGTTTGTATATGTATTTTTGATCCCAATTCATGTGCACTCCAAGAACGAATCTATTCTTTTTCCAAGGGACGCTACTAGGGGCTCCTGGCCTTACTACTAGGAACAAGAACGCTACTAGGAGCAAAGGGCATCGCTACTAGGAGCGATCGGACGCTACGAACGGGGCTCCTTGTCCGTCGAAGGTCGGATCTCTCAAGACATTTTCAAGCTACTCGAGGAGTGGCTTCGATACTAAAGGGATCATCTAAAAACAAGTCCTTTCGAAACTTTCGAGCGAGTTTCCAAGACCTTCCAGCTTTGTGCAGCTCCAGGATCTCTCCAAGGTGCAGGAGATGTGTGATCGAGTGCTTGAAGACATGGGCTTTGTGTCTGCAAAACTTGTTCTGACAGCAAGGACTCGTATTGATTGTATATTGCTTCATGTTCGTTGGATGAGTACCTGTGAGCAGATTCCTGGAGCCTTGAATTCTAACAGATTTCGTGGCATTGAGGTGAGTACGGCCTCGAGATTCGTGGCATTGCAAATGCCACAGGCTCCTGTTGAGACTGTGGAACTCCGCAGGGTTTGGCAAGAGGAGCAAACGGGAGGTGTGCCATGCCCATGCCTTTTCGCAAACGGGAGGCATTCGAGTGGTGGACATGCTGGTCTACAACATCGCGTGCCATGGTGTTGACTGCTGTCTCTTTTTACTTTCTCATGTTCTTCACAACATTTGGCAACATCTATTGATTCCTTCAAGGTCTTTTCAAGTAGACAAGAAGCTACTAGGAGCAAAGGGCATCGCTACTAGGAGCAAGGCCGCTACTAGGGGCTCCTGGCCTTTCTACTAGGAACAAGGACGCAACTAGGAGCAAAGGGCATCGCCAGTAGACTGAACCCTCCGATCTTTCAAGACTGAGCCTTGGTGTGCCAAGGTACGAGTTGGAAGGTGGTTGCACCTCTATCGTTGCGCAAGATGACCACGGCCATCTTATTCATGGTAGGTCTGCCCCTGAAAGACTTGGCTTTTGTATTTGACTCAACAGATTTGACTCACAAGTTTATCTCAGGAATCTGGACTTCGGTCTATTCCTTGGTATCTCGGTCTCGTGATGTTTGAGAGCAAGTATGCTTTGGGGGGGCACCTGGCGGGGGCACTTCACATCAAGTGCTTGGCTTTTCCTTCAAGTTGAGGCGAGGATTGGAAGCACCTTCAGTGGACGCTCACAGAGGAATCGCACTGTGCCGACTCTGCTTGTTCTGACACCTGCTTACCTGCTATTGGTTTATTGTTCCTAGTAGCTTCTTGCTACTACTAGTAAGGCACTTGTTACTACTAGCGATGCACTTGTTACTGCTTGGACAAACATTTTGTTTCAATTTTGCAACGAAAGGAGCCGATCGGCCTCGCAGGATTTGCGGCCGCTCTTGCGGAATGTTCGCTTCGTGCGAGACAATCACACCGTCTACAACTCCACGGTCTTTTTGGGTTGCTTGGATGATATGTCAGAGTTCTTATATCCTTTTAAGCCTGCCCTTACTGAATTGAGTAGGTGCCTACTTAATCGAGTAATTAAGGAAGGAAGCTACTCGAAGAAGTTCGCTCCTAGGAACAGGACGGATAGAGAAGCGCTCGCACTAATGACTTGTATTACTTCAGGGAAACTTACAGTAACTTATGGCCCCTGCCCGACAAGTTCACCCTTAGCCAGTGCGTTTTGGTGTGACCGTTTCAGGTTATGTAGGCACTCTGACAGCAGTGAAGCACAGTGCATTCTCGGTCAGCGTGAACACCAGGCAGCATTGTTTGTGCCCGTATTGGACAGCAAGAAATGAGAGAATCTCAGAGATGTTTTTACTAAGTAGGATTCGCAGTGGCAGTGGACAGGTATGACAAGTCTGATTGGGCTGCGCTAAGAGCCTTCTTGGAAGGCAAAGGAAGTGGCAATTTCTTGTCCTTGTTGATGCCTCAGTTCTGGGTGCGCATGGCCTGATACTAAGGACCATATTTTTGGAATATGGAAGTGTATGGAAGCATATAGAAGTATGATGTTCTTCCTGAAACCATCGCTAGTAGGTTCAGTATAATGTGGAAGGACGAGAGCCCCAAGTAGCGTCCTTGTTCCTAGTAGTAAGGCCAGGAGCCCCTAGTAGTGTCCTTGGTCCTAGTAGCGATGCCAGGAGCCCCTAGTAGTGTCCTTGTTCCAAGTAGTAAGGCCAGGAGCCCCTAGTAGCGTGAAGTTCATCCTGAAGCGAAAGCGCCAAAAAGGTGTCACCGGAGGTTTGAAGGCTCCGCCGCTGGAAGTCAACTGAGGTTGCTCCGAGATGTGATGGCACCTTGGATGCTGCAATTCTCGTCACCATGACGTTCTTGTCGCAACAGACCCTTTCAAATTCTTGCAGATTCTTGTTGAAACTGCATGCCATCCAGGGAGGCCTTTCTTTGCAATTCTGCGCATTTCAACCCTTTCACACTACGCAACTCTTGCTCCGCCACTCAGGTCAGCAACCATTCCTTCGCGGAGGCCGGATGTCCTTGTCACGTTGAACCCAACATCCACGACCTTATTATACCTTAATATATATGATAGACAAGGGAACACAACAGTAAAGGAAATTAGAAGGTAAGGGTCCCTTTAAATACTGTAAGTCTCCTTTAAAGAGGCCCTCACCTTCATATTACAGTATTCTTCCTAATTTCCTTTTCATTTTCCCAGGGCATCACTAGTAGTAACAAGGGCATCGCTACTAGTGGCAAGGGCACCACTAGTAGTAGCAAGAAGCTACTAGTAGTAGTAATACCCTTGTTACTAGTAGCGTCCTTGCTACTAACAGCGATGCACTTGTTACTAGTCGACTTTGTTTTGGACTTGGACTTGTGGCGACATCAGGCTTTGGCAACGGTGAGATCAGCTAAGATTCTGGGCCCAGCATATGTGACTTCGACAAGAACAGCCTGTTTTCTGCATTGCACAATGTCAAAGTACTGCAACATGTCAATATTTTGATCAGTTTATCAATGTTTCTTTGCTCAGGTGATTCTAGGTGGAACTCAAGCTGGTGAAGGTGCTGTGCTAGAGCGGGGAGCAACCTCAGTGGTGATGCTCAGCTGCAAAAGGTGCAATCAGCAGGAATTCAGAATCAAGCACGGATGAAAGTGAATCTATCATTCTGAGCCAAGACCAGATATAGTATGATGCATCCTTTCACTCTGGTGGTGATAGCTGTGCTTCATTTCAACCTCAAATTCAAGGGTTTCAGAGTTTCTTTCCTCCGAAGATGTCGCTCTGACATTTTGGGGTCCATTTTGAGTACCATGCCCAGGAACCAGACCCTGCTCAGCGACGTTGCACGCCAGGAAATCAACTCTGTGGTGCAAACCAACTGGGACACTCAAGCTAAGAAAGAGAATTGACATTCATCCTTTGCTTTTTCCTTGTCGAGTTGGAATTTGAGAGAGAGAGAGAGTCTTGAAGAGAGAAGAAAGCAGAAGGAGAAGAGTCTGCTTCTGAAGGCTACTTAGACAAAAAAGAGAAGGCTCTTTGTCTTCTTCGTCGAGCTACAAGTAAAGACTTCTTATTGTAAAGACTTTTTCAAGCAACTCTTCCAACAATGACCTTTTGGTCTCTGTCAATCGAGCCTCAGGACTACAACCAAGATCCCTTTTATGACAACCGGCGCAGCCCTGCAGAGCATTGCCTGCGAGAACGGTTCAATGACCACATTGATTTCAAAGGCCTGTGTTGCTACTCCGTTTTTTTGAATAGAGTTAGTTGCTTGAAGATTTGCCAGTGTTTCTGTTCATTTCACCTAGTATTTCATAGTGGCCTCAAAGGATCAACGAATCTTGTTGAGTCAATGGCAAATGGCAAAGAGACAGCGGCCCCTGACCACTTCCGCCGGAGGCATGTTCTCTGTGCTCGCGGCCCACCCTAACCGCAATCGCCTCACCACCTACACTGCGCTGATGAGCGCACAGCAGCTTGGATCAGTAAGAAGTTAAAGCCAAGACAGAAGCTCTTTGAAAGAACAAAGAAAGGTCTGAAGGTCTGTAGAAGGAAAGAAAAGATTCAGACAGGAGGAAAGAAAGAAAGGTCAGAGAGAAGACATGAAAAAAGGACCAGGTCTTTACACATGAGTTCTTGTTGACGGTAGGAAGTAGTTTTGTAAGGAAGTAGTTGACAGGCAAAGACCTAAACAGTTTTAGTTCGTGCCCTTCCAGAGGTCGGGTGACTTCGAGGCAGGAGTCTTGCAAGCGAACCGGCAAACCTTGCGGCAAAGCGTTGGCCGGAAACGTGACGTGATGCCCTTTGCTCCTAGTAGCGTTCTTGTTCCCCAAACAGTTTACTGTTAGGGGTTCTCAATGCTTTAAAGAATGGTCGCCTTGGTGCTGGATGGTCTGGTCGGGTTCCCGGCCGGCTTGTCTCCCACTTCCTTTTATTTGTCTCCCACTTCTTTTCATTTGTCTCCCAAGCTCGGTGCTTGTGGTCGGGTTCGCGGCTGGCTTGTCTCCCACTCCCTTTCATTTGTCTCCCACTTCTTTTCATTTGTCTCCCAGTTCTTTTCATTTGTCTCCCAGGCTGGGTGCTTGTGGTCGGGTTC